CCCAGATCCGGACGTTTTCCTACCAAACCGTTCCAGATCTGAGAGCAGACCCATCACATATGATGAAGTCCATAGATCATAATAAGCTACAAAGACATGGTTACGCATAGAGATGATAATCATGGAACATGTATTTAAAGCTTGATCTTAAATAAAGTTCCAAGTCGTTGGGTATTTCGAGATAGGATATCGAATAATCCGGTAAGACTTGCACATATGATATATGCTTATCAGATAAGAATGTTGCATTCCATCAACATTAGCATGTGATGCAAGTATATATATGTGGATGCTTGTTAGGGAACAAGTTCATTGAACATGACCGTATGAAAATTCTTAAATGGAAGTGTTTCTTGTCGAATAAGAATTTTCATGTTACAATAGTACATGATTGATCCTTAGACTTGAGGCACAATGGTAATCTTGTGCATATTGTACTTTACTTTGATTTATCCTTTGATTGCAAAGACAATCAATAAAGGAATATTTTGGGTATTGTATTAATATGTATGGAGATTTGTTAGTGGCCAACAGAGGATTTGACAACACTTATGAGATAAGTGAATTTCCTATGTTTTTTCATAGTTTGTGATTCGAAGTCCTTGGCCAAGACAGAATGAATGGAGATTCATAAGGGAATCACGAAACTTGAAATGGAATCATAGTTATTAAAAATATGGGTTTCGACTAAAAACCATACCCATGATTTAATCGGGAAATTAGTTGTCGAAATGATTTTACATGTATGTAATTGTAATTGAAAAGGTTTACTCGCTATTCACTTAATACTAGGTGATTATGCTACTTGCTAGGTGTTCCCATGATTTGTGGGTTCTTGAAATTAAAGGGTTAATTTCAAGAATAAGAATTAAAATGATTAATTCAAATTACAAGTAAGTTGTAAACCCATTACTAGTATTACTAGTGAACCTAAAAGGTCACACCAATTTTTGAATGAAAACAATTTAAAGTGATATTTCTAAAGAGTTAGAATTAATTGATAATGATTAATTAAATAATATGATTATTTAATTAATTATCTAATTATGAATTAGATGTCAATTAAAGGAATATTATAAATTAATCAATTGGATTGATTAATTGGATTTTGGATATTAATTAAGTAATTAATGTAATTACTAAATTAATAGTTGGATTTTAAAATATGATTTTAAAATTCAAATCCAAAATAAAAATATGATTATTATAAAGAAGATAATATTAAAATTGGGAGAAAAGATTATTTTAATAAAGTCTTGAAAAATATTTTCAAGAATTATTATTTTATCTTTAATATGATTAAAGATTAAAATAATGAAAAGACAAAATAATTGTGGTTGATGGTGGTTATGAACCACTTCACATAATTAATTAAAAGTCAATATTTGGTATGATTATTTAAATAAAATTTGATTTTATTTAAAATAAATAATTACCAAATGTTGATTATTTTATGCTAAAATATTTGCACATAATGCTATGTCTTGAAATTTTTCAAGAGTTGAAAAAGAGAGAAAAAAAAGAATTGTTCTTCAAGATAAATATTTAAGAAAGAGTTCTTAAATAATAATAAAGAAAAAAAATATTATCTTCCAATTAAAATCCTCTAATTAATATTCCTATATCAAAATCGATATTTCTCTACTAGCGAAGAAAGAGGTTATCGGTGTTGGATTTCAAAAGTGAACTCGATTAGAGGGAAGACAATTGGATTCCTAAAGAGAGACGAGTTCAAACCGGAAATTGATTTCCACAAACAACGGCGAGGAGGAGATAAAAAGGTAATTTTCGAAATTATCTTACAAATCAAAATTAGTAAAAGTTACTAGATTTTAAATGATGCTTATCCGTTATATCGTTATACTTATGTACGGAATAAGTATTTGTGAGATAAATACTTATAAAATTTTAAAATTCTGCTGCATATTCTGTTCCGTACAGTATGTCGAACCCAACAGGGACATCCCCATCCTCAACGTCGCTGGCCAAGACGTGACCGACGCCTTCATCGCCTTCCACCAGGGCTCCGCGTGGGCCAACCTCAACCGCTTCTTCACTGGATTCCACCTCCAGGACTTCCGCGTCACCGAGGTCTCTCGGGACTACCGCACCCTCATCAACCGCTTCGTGAAGTCCGACATGTTCGAGAAGAAGGGCCATGGCGTGATCTATTCCCTCTGCTTCATCTCTGTCCTATTGGCCGCGTGCGTGTACAGTGTCCTCTACTCTGACAGCTTCGCGGTCCACATGGCATCGGGCGCTCTCTTGGGCCTCGCCTGGATGCAGGTTAGGCCCCTAAATTATTAAATCAAATTGTTGATGAAAGCTTCATTCGCTCATTAAATGCAGGTGACGTACTTGGGCCCACCACCCGGGGCTACAACAAGCTGGCCCAAATCCTAACTGGCAACTGCTTTACAGGCATCTCGATCGCGTGGTGGAAGTGGACTCACAACGCCCACCACGTGGGGTGCAATAGCCTCGACCACGACCCGAACCTCGAGCACCTCCCTGTCCTAGCCGTCTCGTCCCGCCTCTTCTCCTCCATCACCTCCCGCCTCTACAACCGCAAGCTCTCGTTCCACCCGCTAGGCCATTTACTCGTCAGCTACCTATTGAGTCAAAGAAAATGGGGTTGCGCCCACTCATTTTGAAGCAGCCAAGGAAGAAAAGAAAAGGAGAAGCATCTCAGCACACCTTTGTGGATAATTTAATACATTTCTCTTCTATAAATAGCTCAGCAATTCTGATTAACAAACACAACAACAAATACAAATATCCTGAAGAGAGAAAAGAGAGATAAAAAGGGTGTGAGCGAGAAGCAAAAATTTAGCTTCTGTGTGTATTTGTGTTGTCGGTTGTGAGTGAGTTTGAGAGTGTTTTGTAAAACACGAGTGTATTTCTTTTCCCTAATAAAATATCTGCAGTAGTCCGGAGACGTAGGCATTATTGGCCGAACTCCGTTATCAATTTGGTGTGTCCAATTTTTCTTTTTTATTTCACTTTTATAGATCCGACTTCATGGAAATTTCAGCGTATTTTTCCCAACAACTGGTATCAGAGCCAAATTGTTAATTATGTAATTTTTTTGTTTGGGTTACTATTCCGTGAATAGTGAAAAACGGGAATAGTTCCAAATTTGTCGGCGCTACAAATTTATCTACCGACGTGTTCTAAAACACGGTAGTTCACAAAAATTACAGAAACGATCCGACAGAGAAGTCAGATCAGAGTCGAAGTGATGGCTGCAGACGAAGGAAAAACGAAAATTGAAAAGTTCGATGGTGCGGACTTTGGCTTCTGGAAGATGCAGATCGAGGATTATCTGTACCAGAAGAATATGTATCAACCACTCACGGGAAAGAAGCCAGAGGACATGAAGGAGGAAGAATGGAGTCTCCTTGACAGACAAGCCCTTGGAGCCATTCGGCTGACGTTATCCTGTAATGTTGCTTTTAACATTGCAAAAGAAAAAACGACAGCAGGCCTCATGAAGGCTCTTTCCAACATGTACGAGAAACCATCAGCCTCAAATAAATTCCATTTGATGAGGCGATTGTTCAACCTGCGGATGAGTGAAGGTGCTCCGGTGGCAAATCATCTCAATGAGCTCAACACAGTTACAACCCAGTTGAGTTCAGTTGAGATCGAGTTCGATGATGAAGTACGGGCTTTAATACTTTTGTCTTCTCTACCAGAAAGCTGGAATGCTACAGTCACAGCTGTGAGTAGCTCATCGGGAAGCAATAAGTTGAGATTTGATGATGTCCAAAATTTGGTTCTCAGTGAAGAGATCCGGCGGAGGGAGTCGGGTGAACCATCAACCTCTTCTGTATTGCATACAGAGTCGAGAGGAAGAAGTTCAACCAAAGAAAGCAGATATATCAAATCAAAGGGAAGAAGATCCAGGTCCAGAAATCATCGTAATTCCCAAAACTCGAAGTCGATCGAGTGCTGGAATTGTAGGAAGACCGGGCACTACAGAAATCAGTGCAAGAGTGCACCGAAGGGTCAGGAGGCAAAAGAAGAGGCAAATATTGCTTCAACCTCTGGAGGAGATACGCTGATACGTTCTTTGGAGAACAGAGAAGAGTCTTGGGTGTTAGACTCTGGAGCATCCTTTCATGCTACCTCACAGAAGGAACTATTCGAGAATTATGTTACTGGAAATCTTGGTAAAGTTTACCTTGGTAATGAGCAATCATGTGAGGTTGTCGGCAAAGGTGCAGTAAAAATCAAGTTGAACGGGTCTATTTGTGAATTGAAAAATGTCAGACATATTCCCGACCTAACGAAGAATTTAATCTCCGTAGGCCAGCTAGCCAGTGAAGGCTACACGACAATCTTCCATGGTGATGATTGGAAGATTTCAAAGGGTGCGATGACAATAGCTCGAGGCAAAAAGAGTGGTACTCTTTACAAGACCAAAGGAGCATGTCATCTGATTGCAGTTGCAGCAAATGAAAGTCCCAATCTATGGCACCAAAGACTTGGGCATATGAGTGAAAAAGGGATGAAGATCATTCACTCAAAAAGAAAATTACCAGGCCTCCAGTCAATAGAAATTGACATGTGTGAAGGCTGTATACTTGGAAAGCAGAAGAGAGTCAACTTTCAGACAAGTAGAAGAACCCCAAAGAAGTAGAAGCTTGAGCTCGTCCACTCCGATGTTTGGGGTCCAACCACTGTCCCATCCGTTGGTGGGAAGCAATACTTCGTGACTTTTATCGATGATCACTCCAGAAAGGTATGGGTTTACTTTCTGAAACACAAGTCAGAAGTATTTGAAGCTTTCAAGATTTGGAAAGCTATGGTGGAGAATGAGACGGGCTTGAAGATCAAGAAGCTCAGATCCGACAATGGTGGTGAATACGTAACCACCAGATTCAAGAAGTTTTGCTATGAGCACGGGATCAGAATGGAGAGAACCGTGCCTGGTACGCCTCAACACAATGGTGTAGCTGAGCGTATGAATCGAACGTTGACTGAAAGAGCCAGAAGCTTGCGTGTGCAGTCAGGCCTACCAAAGCAGTTCTAGGCAGAAACAGTCAACACAACAACTTACTTGATCAACCGAAGTCCATCGGTACCATTGGATCACAAGTTACCAGAAGAGGTATGGAGCGGAAAAGAAGTGAAACTCTCACATCTTAGAGTTTTTGGGTGTGTAGCATAAGTGCACATCAGTGATCAAGGTAGAAACAAACTTGATCCAAAATCAAAGAAATGTACTTTCCTTGGTTATGGTGAAGATGAGTTTGGCTACCGCTTATGGGATGATGAAAGCAAAAAGATGATCCGCAGCAGAAATGTCATCTTTAATGAAAGAGTGATGTACAAGGACCGACATAACAGAAGTGCCAGCAACTCAGAAGCGAGTGGGCCAGTTTATGCAGAGGTGGAAGATATCCCAGACATGCCTATAGTAAGGAATCCTCAATTAGAGGAATCAAATGAAGAAAGTGAAGTGCAATCAGAATCTTCTCCAACTCCTGTATTGAGAAGGTCCTCTCGGCCCCATGTGCCTAGTAGGAGATACATGGACTACATGTTGTTGACTGACGGAAGAGAAGCGAAAGATTATCAGGAGGCTTGTCAAACCCCGGATGCTAGCAAGTGGGAGCTTGCCATGAAGGACGAGATGAAGTCCTTGATCTCAAATCAGACATGGGAACTAGTCAAGTTACCCATGGGAAAGAAAGCACTTCACAACAAATGGGTGTATCGGGTGAAGGAAGACCATGATGGTTCCAGGAGATACAAAGCCCGACTGGTTGTCAAAGGATTTCAGCAAAAAGAAGGAGTTGACTATACTGAAATCTTTGCTCCAGTTGTAAAGCTCAATACTATCAGGACTGTGTTAAGTATTGTGGCTAGTGAAGAGCTTTACCTAGAGCAGTTAGACGTGAAGACTGCATTTCTTCACGGAGATCTAGATGAGGAGATCTATATGCACCAACCTGAAGGTTTTTCTGAAGGAAAGAAGGATATGGTGTGAAGATTGAAGAAGAGCTTGTACCGCCTGAAACAAGCTCCAAGACAGTGGTATAGGAAGTTCGAAAGCTTCATGCACAAGGAAGGTTTCCAGAAGTGCAATGTTGACCACTGTTGTTTCTTCAAGAAATATGAGTCCAACATAAATCATATTGCTACTTTATGTCGATGACATGTTAGTAGCAGGATCAAATATGATAGACATCAGAAATTTAAAGATGCAGCTGTCAAAAGAATTTGACATGAAGGACTTAGGCCCAGCAAAGAAGATTCTTGGAATGCAAATCACGAGAGATAAGCAAAAAAGAGTTTTGCAGTTATCTCAGGCAAAGTACATCAACCGTGTTTTGCAGAGATTTAACATGGACAAGGCTAAGCTAGTTAGTACACTTTTGGCTAGTCATTTTCGTTTATCCAAGGATCAGTCTCCTCAAACAAAAGAAGAAGAAGAGTTCATGGCTAAGATTCCTTATGCTTCAGCCATTGGAAGTTTGATGTACGCGATGGTCTGTACGAGGCCAGACATTGGCCATGCAGTGGGAGTTGTGAGCAGGTTTATGTCAAAACCAGGAAAAGCTCATTGGGAAGCAGTCAAATGGATTTTGAGATATCTACGAGGCACAACAGAAAAATGTCTGTATTTTAGAAAAGGAGATCTAAAGTTACAGGGCTACGTAGATGCAGACTTCGGAGGTGAAGTTGATCATCGGAGAAGCACCACCGGTTATGTTTTCACTGTCGGGGCTACAACTGTTAGTTGGATGTCGCGGATACAAAAGATTGTTGCACTATCCACTACAGAGGCTGAGTATGTAGCAGTGACAGAAGCCAGTAAAGAATTGATATGGCTTCAAGGATTGTTAGCAGAGTTGGGTTTCACTCAAAAAGAGAGTGTCTTGCACAGTGACAGTCAGAGTGCGATACATCTGGCAAAGAACTCAGTGTTTCACTCCAGAACTAAGCACATTGACATACGATATCATTTCATCAGATCTCTGCTTGAGGATGAAGTATTGACTTTGAAGAAGATTGTAGGAAGCAAAAACCCAGCAGATATGCTAACGAAGGTGGTGACCATTGACAAACTGAAGTTGTGCTCAACTTCAGTTGGCTTGCTAGAATAACAGACCAGAGAAGAATACTGCAGTAATTGAGGTGTGAGGACAGATTGAAATCAGTCCTCAAGTGGGAGATTGTTGAGTCAAAGAAAATGGGGCTGCGCCCACTCATTTTGAAGCAACCAAGGAAGAAAAGAAAAGGAGAAGCATCTCAGCACACCTTTGTGGATAATTTAATACATTTCTCTTCTATAAATAGCTCAACAATTCTGATTAACAAACACAACAACAAATACAAATATCCAAAAGAGAGAAAAGAGAGATAAAAAGGGTGTGAGCGAGAAGCAAAAATTTAGCTTCTGTGTGTATTTGTGTTGTCGGTTGTGAGTGAGTTTGAGAGTGTTTTGTAAAACACGAGTGTATTTCTTTTCCCTAATAAAATATCTGCAGTAGTCCGGAGACGTAGGAATTATTAGCCGAACTCCGTTATCAATTTGCTGTGTCCAATTTTTCTTTTTTATTTCACTTTTATATATCCGACTTCATGGAAATTTCAGCGTATTTTTCCCAACACTATCAGCACATCAACTTCTACCCGATCATGATCATCGCCCGAGTCAACCTCTACCTCCTGTTGGGGTATCACAACAAGCGCAGCGGATAAAAATACCCCTCCAACAAATATGGCGAACACTACTCCAAACGAAAATAAGCCAACACAAATAAATAAAAGACGGGAAGAAAAGAAGAACACAAAAAATTGATAACAGAGTTCGGCAAAAATAGCCTACGTCTCCGGGCACCGCCAACCGCAACGCCAAATTTACTAAACTCACCAACAAAATACAACTAGGGTTAAATAACCCACAAAATAGGATTTCCTTAATTAAGGATTTCCTTCTAAATAGGAGAGAATAGAATAAGGTGCAATTGTAACCCAAAGGCAATGGACCTATTTATACTAAAAAGATCCTACACATCTTTGGTACACATCCGATGTGGGACAAAACTTAATCAAAAAACTAACAATTCTCCACCTTGACTAATTTTGCTCCCACTTCCAACTCAACTGCTAGCGGTGCCTCCAAATGCGACTCTCGGCGCCAACTCAAATATGCAGAATGTTGGTCAAGTCTAAACAATGTTCAAACTTGACTGCTGTCACTGCCTTGGTCATCATATCTGCAGGATTCTCTATCGTCTTAATCTTCTTCAACACAACAGTTCCATCTTCTAGAATCTCCCGCACAAAGTGATAGCGAACATCAATATGCTTCGTTCTTGCATGAAATACTTGATTTTTCGCTAAGTGAATAGCGCTCTGACTGTCACAATGCACTAAGACGTGCTTTTGACCAACTCCCAAGTCTTCAAGCAAACTTTGAAGCCAAATAGCCTCCTTCACAGCTTTAGTAACCGTCATATACTCTGCTTCTATTGTAGACAAAGCAACTGTTGACTGTAAGGTAGACTTCCAACTGACTGGAGCTTTTGCAAAAGTGAACAAATATCCAGTCGTTGATCTTCGCTTATCCAAATCACCCGCGTAGTCAGAATCACAATATCCAACTACACACTGACCAAATTCATTCTGCTCATAAACCAATCCAACGTCTACAGTACTATGAATGTACCGTAGAATCCATTTCACAGCTTGCCAATGACCTTTCCCAGGGTCATGCATATACCTGCTAACAACACCAACTGCTTGTGAAATGTCGGGCCTTGTACACACCATCGCATACATCAAACTGCCAACTGCATTTGCATATGGGACTCTAGTCATGTACTCTCGTTCTTCATCACAATTTGGCGATAATTGGGCACTTAACTTCAAATGAGGGGCAAGTGGTGTACTTACTGGCTTCGACTCATCTTTTATGCCGAAACGCCGTAGTACCTTATTCAGATATTGCTTCTGAGTCAAACAAAGCTTGCCTCTCACTCTATCCCTACTTATCTCCATCCCGAGAATCTTCTTAGCTTCCCCAAGTCTTTCATCTCAAACTCTTGATTCAACTGAGCCTTCAATTGATCAATCTCCACTTGGCTCTTTGATGCAACCAACATGTAATCCACATACAAGAGTAAGTAAATGAAAGATCCATCTTGCAGCTTGCGTAAATACACACAATGATCATGTCTGCTTCGCGTGTACTTCTGACCAATCATAAACTTATTAAACCGTTTGTACCACTGCCTCGGAGATTGCTTCAGTCCGTACAACGATTTGTTCAACTTACAGACCTAATTCCCTTTTCCAAGAATTTTGAATCCTTCTGGCTGAGTGATGTAGATTTCCTCATCCAATTCTCCGTGTAAGAACGCCGTCTTCACGTCAAGTTGAGCTAGCTCTAAATCCAATTGTGCTGCTAAGGCCAACAAAATTCTAATGGAAGAGTGTTTAACAACTGGAGAAAACACTTCATTATAATCAACTCCTTCCTTTTGAGCGTAGCCTTTAGCCACTAACCTTTCCTTGTAGCGCACATCATTCTTATGAGGAAATTCATCTTTTTTTGCAAATACCCACTTGCATCCTATCACCCTTTTGCCTTTTGGTAGTTGCGTCACCATCCAAGTTTGATTCTTCTGGAGAGACAACATTTCTTCCTCCATAGCCCACTTCCACTTCTCATTTTCTAAACTTCGAATTGCATCTTGAAAAGTGAAAGGTATGTCATCGTCAACAATTGGAAGTTCATAAGCCACCATATCTGCCAATCGAGCAGGTTGTTGAATCTCTCGTCTAGGCTTTCTCAATGCAATGGGTAAATCTAATGATTCATGAGTCTGAACTTCATTATCCGACGAATCGTTTGATATTGTTTCGTCGATCATAGCTGGTTGTCTCGTCATCTCATCTATCTCCACCTGCTTCGGTGTCAACTCCACCTGTTGGGTTTGCGTCGTCTTTATCATCCTTTGTTCATCGAATGTAACATCCCTGCTAAACACTGTTTTCTTCGTCTCAAGACACAAAAGACGATATCCCTTCACGCCAATTGTGATTCCCATGAACAAAGCCTTTTTCGCTCTTGGATCTAACTTTGAATCCTTCACATGATAGAACGTAGGACACCCAAAGACATGTAAAGATCCATTGTCAGCAACAGGTTTCCCCGACCATACCTCCAACGGTGTTTTACCATTTTTTGCAGATGACGGCAAACGATTTATGAGGTGTTGCGCGTATGTTACAGCCTCAACCCAGTACTCCTTGCCCAAACCAGCATTGGACAACATACATCGAACTTTCTCCACCAATGTTTGATTCATGCGCTCCGCCACCCCATTTTGTTGTGGTGTCCGTCTAACGGTGAAGTGCCTAACAATGCCATTTTTACGGCAAACTTCTTGAAAGGGATCGCTTGTATATTCTCCACCATTGTCCGTTCGTAGGACCTTGATCTTCCTTCCAGTCTGATTCTCAATTTGTGTCTTCCATGTAATGAAGACACCAAGCACTTCATCCTTCGTCTTCATAGTGTATACCCAAACACGTCTGGAAAAGTCATCGATGAAAGTGACAAAATAGCGCCTTCCGCCTAATGATGGGGTCTTAGAAGGTCCCCAAACATCCGAATGAACATAATCCAAGACACCTTCGGTATTATGGATAGCCGTTCCAAACTTCACTCTTTTCTGCTTTCCCAAAACACAGTGCTCACAAAAGTCTAGTTTGCACACTTTGACATCTTTCAACAGTCCTTGTTTTGCCAATGTTTGCAAGGACTTTTCACCAACATGTCCCAAACGCATATGCCACAACTTGACTGCTTCAGAATCCTTGTTGGTGGAATCTGCTACTGTTACTGTCCCAACAACTGTATCACCTTCATAGTAATACAAATTATTCCTCCTGATGCCTTTCATCACCACGAGCGAGCCGGATGTAGCTTTCATAACTCCATCTCGCAAAGTCACTACCAAGCTTTTGGATTCCAAGGCTCCTAATGAGATGAGGTTTTTCTTCAAACTCGACACGTACCGAACATCTGTCAAAACTCTGGTGGAACCGTCGCGATTCTTCAAACGGATTGAACCTATCCCAGTTGTCTTACAGGCATTATCATTGCCCATATAGACAACCCCTCCATTGATCTCCTGAAAATTGAAGAACCACTCCCTTATGGGAGACATATGGTAGGTGCATCCTGAATCCAAAATCCATTCGTCTGGATGAGATGATGAAGGTGAAACCACAAGTGAAAATTCTGAGTCTTCACTTCCACCCTCAGCAACATATGCATCTTGAGGAGATTTGCCCTTCTTCTTCAACTTAGGACAGTCTTTCTTCCAGTGTCCCTTGTCATGACAGAAAGCACACTCGTCTTTTTCAAGCTTGGCTTTGGAACGTGATATTCCTCGTCCATTCTTCTTTTGGCTCTTCGATCGACCTCTTGCAACTAACGCTTCATCTTCTGCTGCTGCATTCTTCGTCTCTTGTTTGTTCTTCTTCCTCAACTCATAGCTATACAGAGCAGAACTGACCACTGCAAGAGTTACATCGCTCTTCCCATGGAGCAGAGTAGTCTCTAAGTGCTCGAAATCGTCTGGAAGTGATGATAACAACATTAGAGCCAAATCTTCATCGCTGAATGTGACGTCCAAATTCAACAAATCTGCAACCAACTGATTGAATGCAGTGACGTGGTCATTCATCGATGTGCCATGCCGGTACTCGAATCGGAACAATCGTTTCTTCATGAGGAGCTTATTCTGGCCGCTTTTCTTCAGAAATTTATCCTCCAAAGCCTTCCACAAAGTGTGAGCAGAGTTCTCATTCTTGAACGCGTACTTCTGCTCCCTCGACAAACACGAACGAATTGTTCCACATGCTAAGCGGTTGATATTTTTCCAGTCCTTCTCTTCAACGTCTGTTGGCATCTTTTCTTCAATCGCAATGTCGACGCCTTGCTGAAATAGACAATCCATCACCTCGCCTTGCCACATGCCGAAATGACCGGTCCCGTCGAAGATCTCCACCGGGAGTCTGACGTTCGGCATCACCGTCCTTGCCGGAATGAATGCAGAGGATGATGCGCCCTTGACCTCCTTGGACATCTCGGACCCGAATGCAGTGCTCGCCTCTCCAAATGAGCCTGTGACGAACCTTCGTCTCTGATACCACTTGTTGGGGTATCACAACAAGCGCAGCGGACAAAAATACCCCTCCAACAAATATGGCGAACACTACTCCAAACGAAAATAAGCCAACACAAATAAATAAAAGACGGGAAGAAAAGAAGAACACAAAAAATTGATAACGGAGTTCGGCGAAAATAGCCTACGTCTCCGGGCACCGCCAACCGCAACGCCAAATTTACTAAACTCACCAACAAAATACAACTAGGGTTAAATAACCCACAAAATAGGATTTCCTTAATTAAGGATTTTCTTCTAAATAGGAGAGAATAGAATAAGGTGCAATTGTAACCCGAAAGCAATGAACCTATTTATACTAAAAAGATCCTACACATCTTTGGTACACATCCGATGTGGGACAAAACTTAATCAAAAAACTAACACCTCCTGACCTTCCTCCTCCTCTGCTCCAAAAATTGAAGAGTTCCCGACCGAGCGATAAACATACTCGGCATCCTCGTCATCTGGACGTGGTTCCCGCTGCTCGTCGCGTGCCTGCCCAACTGGACCGAGCGTGTCCTGTTCGTGCTCGCGAGCTTCACCGTCTGTTCGATCCAGCACGTGCAGTTCTGTGTGAACCATTTCGCGGCGGATGTGTACGTGGGGTCACCCAAGGGGAACGACTGGTTTGAGAAGCAGACGAGCGGGACCATCGACATATCGTGCTCGACTTGGATGGAATGGTTTTTCGGGGGGCTGCAGTTCCAGCTCTGTTCCCAAGGCTGCCGAGGTGCCACCTCAGGAGCGTGTTGCCTGTGGTGCAGGAGCTCTGCAAGAAGCATAACTCGCCGTACAATAGTTTGTCGTTTTACGAGGCAAACAAATGGACGCTGAGGTCGGCCGCGCTCGAGGCCATGGACTTCTCGCCGCCTGTGCCTAAGAACTTGCTGTGGGAGGCTGTGAACACGCAAGGCTGAATGATGGTCGATTTTTGTTGTGTGGTTGATTGGTGTTTTTTTGTCCCTGTTTATCTGAGGCTGCTTTTTATCTCTTCTTTTCCGTTATTATTATAACCATATTGGTATTTGGTGAAATTTCTATGAAAGATGGTGTGTTGCTATTACATTTGTGTAGACTGTAGCTTTTGGAGAGAGAGCTTCAATGTTCTTCTGACATATATATATAAGCATATATAACAGAATACCAAATTCAACCATGAAGTATCTCTATGTGAAACATTAAAAAGTAACTTAACCATGAAATATCTCTACGAAACATTGAAAATTAACTTAAATAAAGACCGATCTGACGTTCACAGCAAAATTGCTCAACAATTTGCACATTATCACGTCACCGTAAATACCGCTTTTCCAGAATAGCGGGACTTCAAACGTTGGGCACGCTTTATTGCTTGTGCCTGGGTCCGTTTTTTACGCCTCTTTAACAAAACACATACACGCTTTTCCTTCAGCGAGTTGTTGGCAGCACATTTACAAGGCTTTTCTTCTCTATAGTACTCGCTCTCTGTGTCAATTGTTACGGTTTCCAGATTTTGAGCAAGTTTAAGTAGCTGAGATACAAACACGATGTCATACGAACACCCAACAAACCCACTTATTCTCACCATCTTTAGGTTTTTGTGACGACATCTATAGCGGTAAAATTCTGGAAGCACTTCAGGAAATTCACCACTCTGTCATGAATGAAGAGCCAACTTGTCAAATGAGAAGAAAAGGCAAAAGGAATGATATACACGCAACATTACTAAAAGAATAAAACCGTGAAAATTAATTACCAGGTACGACTTGCTTTTTCTGACATAGGTAATCTGCGGCAATAAAATAGGTTTGCAAGTCAATCATTCGTGAATCGCTAGAAGAGAAAGAAGTGCGGAAAGATGTCATTCTATTTGTTTCACATGAAGAATGTACACTAGAGGGGGTGCTTGTTAGGGAATATGAATACCGGTTATTTGTACTTGTAAGAAATGTGATGAATACGAGACCGCGATCGCGTATTTGAATAAATACGACCGACTCCGGGTTTAATTATTTGTTTCACATTATTATTAGTACTCTTTTGATTTTTATTTCCTTTATTTGCTTTATTAA